ACACTGTAATTGCTGGGAAATACATATTCATAAAGGAGAGACAATACTTCTGGTTTGCCAGCTCTGAGAAAATATGGCCAACCTGAAATATTTTTCTTCGCTGTGGTTAGTGTGATCACTTCTGATCTCTTTTTATGTTCATTCCCTACCACAGTCAAACAAAATTACTTAAAATAATGTGGAATACTTTTCTGCGTAGCATTTATAAATTATTTACTATGTTTTTTAATGTTGCATTATATTCCCAGCAGACCACTTTGTACTTCAAATCAGGTTCTTTGTTCCAGAGATTACAGGGAGAGGAAGAGATCAAAATAAAACTGGGTAAGATGCTACACTGAAATCTATCCCTGTAAGTAATTTTGTCTAGGAGGTCAAAAAAGACAAATCTTCAAGCTTGAGAAACAATAATGTCAAACATAATGAGAAAGTGAAAAATGGTTATGAAAAGGTATTGCAGTTACTCAGGTGAGGAGAGGAAGGTGACAAGGCTCTTGGTTGGTTTGCTTACCTGCAAAAGCAATTCATCGTCCCTTGAGAAAACAGAGGCATTGTTTTCTGGGTAGAATTGCAATGCTGGCACCACAAGCACAAGGTCCCTGACAAAAATGTTCTAAAATCCCAGCAGCGGGGATGGTCACCAGAGCAGATCTTACATCTCTCTTGCATACATTACCTTTTCTTTTAAAAGGGCACTAAATAATTGAATATCTCAATGCAGGCTCTTGTGACCAGCCCAAACCCAAGAGAATAAAGATTATTAGTTTGCAAAGCCAGGCATGAAGGTTAAAAAAAAAACAAACCAGGAAATATTATTTTAATGTAGTTTGCTAATTATTTTCTCACACATTTTCAGTTTTTTAGGTAGAGTCGTGCTGAGAGTAGGGCAAGAAGGATGACCATTATTGAGGATCTGCTGGGATTGTGGGTATATGTATAGGGTATGCTGTGTTGCTCTAGACAGCATCACAGATGTGCAGTGACTGCAGAAGAAAAACAGGATGAGAAAGATGAGCCTGGGGCAGGGCACAAGTGCCAAACTGCACCACTTTAAGTGTCTCTTTTAGAGCCTGAGCCACCAAACCAAGCCAGTCTGGCTGGACAAGCACCCCTCTCAAGGAGGCTACACCCTGCACATACCAAAGAGTAATGGTTGGAGTCAAAAAAAGTTTAATAAAACCCCTAAACCCTGAAGAGCAGCATCAGAATGTAAATGCCTCTAACCAGTCAGGCCTAGAGCTGCCCCTACAACCTATGCACATTGTAAAAGCTCACCCCTACTGGCCCCATTGCCCCTCAGCTGCCACCTGGCTCCTCCTGCTGTTAACACACCAACTCACTTGACACACAGTGTGAAGAGGATGTGTCTGGAAAAGGGGTGAGAGGATCCCCATCTGGTAGCAGAATGAAGTAGCTGCCTCAGATGTTCTTTTCACAACTGATTCCCTTTGTCCACCACTGCCCCAAGCAAAATCTACTTTTTACCCAAAGAGAAAATCCACGTTTAATCAGCCTGGCCTTAGGCTTTCCCCTCTGTACAACTCTGGCTGACCCTGAAGCTTCACAGAGGAACAACATTTTGCACAGCAGCATCAATGCAGCCCATGCAGGCTGACCTGGAATGCACCAAGGGACAGACACCCTCTTCCCATTCCCTATCCTGAAGTGGGTCACTGCACTGAATATTTTCTCACTACTCTCTCAAATGACAATGTAGTCTCCTGAATTAAGGACTGCACATATGGAAGAACTGTTCAGATCATCCATTCAACCACACCAAGCCTCAGAGCAGAATCCTCTTTACAATTTCCTGCTGTGTTGACGCTTCTTGTACAATCCCTCACCTTAACATCAGCTGACTGCAGAAGGCACTATCACATACCTCTACAGACCTTAACACCAACATATCATTCTTGGGCAGCATTTTTCATTTCCTGACTGAAAACCTGGCCTGTTAGTAATAAAGCTGCCCATGCTGAGTAGTGGTTCTCAGCAGCTCAACCGTCCAGGTATTTCTAATGCACAAATATTCCCCTCCAGACCCTCACACATCCCTCAGACAACACCATGCCACTCCCTGCTGCCAGGCTAAGCCTCTTGTTTTAAGAAACCACACTGAAAGCCTTTGTCTTTGTATCTGTGGTTTGCTGTGGAAGGTATTGCAGGGTGCCTTGCCTTTTCTAATACCAAGACCCTTTCATTTCCAATCCCATGGCATACTTTCCACTTGCATCCATGTAAACTCTAATGTCCCCAGCCTGAGAAAGCTGTGGCAGTGCCTTTACCCCACTGTTACAAGTGTTCTTATCCTTAAGGCCTTGCACTGGTCAATTCTGAAATGCTTTTACATTACAAACATCTGTCTGGTGTGTTTAACTCACCCCTTTCCCTCTCTGCCTCCTGACATTTTATTTTCCAGTCTATAGCTCCATTGAGGGAGCTCTTCAGCCTTCCCCTCACCGTTTTTAGCAGGTAACTTCAGCACCTACAAGGGGTTTTTAGTTACCCAGCAGACATTTCCCACTAACACACAGGCACGAGGCACGGCAGCAGTCAGGACAGGCACCACACCGAGCGTGGTGCAATTGATGCAGAGGGTGCCATAAAGCTAAACCAGCCCCGGGGAGCTTGAGCAGCTGCCACAGAGCCACGCTCAGCATGGCAGTGTCACACGGAACCTGCTGCACCCACAGGACACCCCAAGGGGGAGGCGCCTGCCTGGGAGTCCCTCACTTCCCACCTGACTGGTGGGGAGAAGTTCTCCCTTTTCTCTGCCCCTTCAGGTCCTGCTGCAGTCCGTGCATGCCATCAGCTCTGCTTTATTAGCATCTATTAACATTTATTATCATGCATTTCAGGCTGATCTGCCTTTGTGTAACAAGGCTCATACCCCAAAACCTAGGCTTGACTGCAAGTCTGCTGGCCAGGTGAACCATTAACAAGTGCACTTGAGAAAATAAAGTTGTTCTCACATCTGCAGATTTGGGACCTTTTTTATAAACAATTTTTCTTAATACATTTCATTTCTACAGCAAACTTTATTCTACAGGTTGCAGGAGGCTGTCTCTTATCCATAAGTTTGAAGTAGAAATCTTTAGATTGCAATCAGGAGATTAAACTTCAGGATGTGAGGTCTGAATTGGAACTGTACACAAAATCTGTTTTATTTCAAGCAAAACAGTGCAAAATTACTCCAAGCCTCTCAACTGATGTTCTGTTAAATAATACAGCTCATATGGGTTCAGAAGTTCACAGACAGTTTCTCTACTGTCCAGAAGGCCAAAGGCCTCAACAACTGAGTAAAACACTGAACAAGTACATTGTGATTTTTCAAAAGTTTCCAGCATTGAGTAATGGAAAATGAAGTGTTATAGATTCCTTGTTAATGATGGGCAATATCAGGGCCTCTCCAAGCCTGTAATCAGAGACAATAAGATTAAGTAAGAGGGTATGTTAATAACTATAGCTCTGCTCTGGAGCTGCACCTGAGTTTAAAGGGATGACCAAGGGCTTGTAAATTAATTTGCATTTTTTCCACTGTGATGAAGAGCTGAGCTAGTTTTAGAAGCTAGAAGAGCTATTGTTTCTCCAACAGTGCTCTCCTGACAGTGGTTCTAAGCAACAGTGTCAGAAAGAATAATTCCTTTGAAATCTAGAGATAATAGATTTTTGGCAGCAGATGATACAAACCAAATCAAGCTTTATAAAGATAAAATTGCTCTTTTATATAAAATCTACTGTGTTAGCAACAAGTAGTGACACAGAGACTGCTGTACTTGAACACAGTCTCAAGAGACTTCATTCAGGCATTCACAATATTCTAGCAGAAAATTATAACAGTTTGAACAAAAAATTGAACACAAGACTGCAAATATGTTGACAGTTCCGTATCTAAGGCCTGCCCAGCACTACACAAGGTCAACCACCAGGGAAAGCAACATCAAATACAATGAACAATGAGGTAAATCTTAAAAGTTTACTTTTAAAAGCTCACCTGAAGGTTAACCACACATTCACATTTCTCCTTAGAAGTTTATTTCCTTATATTGCTGTCATGGTTTAGGAATGGTACTCCCCAGTTTAGTGTTTCCCACTGAAACTCCAAACTACACACCACTTGCACACCCACCCCCTTTTCCCTTTTCCCCTTCTTCCCTCTCAGAGGATTTGAGAGGAGAATTGGAGCCACAAGAGGCAAAGATCATGAGTTGAGATAAAAACTATTTACTAGAAACAGCAATGAGATAAGAAAATCAACAATATTAATAATGAAAGTGTTACAAGAGGCAAAGATCATGGGTTGAGATAAGAACTATTTACTAGAAACAGAAATGAGATAAGAAAATCAACAATATTAATAATGAAAGTGTAAAAAAGGGAGTGTGTGGAGCTCGACCTGACTGCAATCACACCACCCAAAATTATTTCTTTTTAGAATAGCATCTTTATAAAGTAGCAAAATTTTTTATTTCTCATTAAGCTTATGGCTTCTAAAAGCAAATGCAACCCAAAGCATAATGCGGTCAGCTGGCCCTTCAGAAATGCTGAAAAAAGCCCAAATCACCAAAAACCCAACCACAACACCAATCCCTTCCCACTAAAACAAACAGTTGCTATATTTTGGCTAAATAGGAATGAAGGGTTGTACAGTGTGTGCTGGCAGATATGCACTCTTAAACAGAGTGGCAGATTTTTCTCTTATTTAAGAGAAAACAAAAATTCAGGGTAAGGATAAAATGTAAATGAAGAGGATCAAACTTAGATTGACAGAAATGACAAAAAAAGTACCTAATAAAACCCCATAGCTCTAGACAGAGCTATCCATCAGATATATCCATCAGATGGATACTGCTCAGCCACCAGCACTCTGCCATGACCACAGAGCTTTTCGGGTGTTGTCTCACTCACAGAGCTGCGAGGGACTTTCTGCAGGAGCAGTCTGAGCAATCTCCCTGGCACTCTCTCTTAATGACTTTGTTTTCAGCTACCCATCTGCAGCACGGGGACCTGGGATCAGCACCTCAGCAGTACCTCCTGCTGCCCCCTGCTCCGAGGGACAGTGACAGTGTGCACACATTTTGCAGCAGGGTCTCTCTGCCTCTGTTTTTACAGACTGTGAGTATGTCCATCCTGTCCTCAAACACTGCTCTCCAGAACTGTGGCAGAGCTATGCCAGCTTCTGCCTATCCTTTGAAGTAGCAGTGGGTTTAATTTGATGGGGAGAGGAGAGCACTCTTCAGAAGGTGCTTTGTTTCAGAAAAAAAGAAAAAAAAGTATTGATTAATAATAAAAAATAGTTTTAAAAAAAGTAAAGGTAAAATCTCAATATAATGAAAATTTATCCAAAAAAGTACAAAACAGAATTGCTTAATTTCCCAAGTAAGAAGGGAATGGACAGAAACTAACACCACTCCCACCTGAAGAACACAGAAGCACCTGCCAGCTGGTTATAGGCAAAAGTAATCCTGTCCCACCATTTCTTCTGGTGAATCTACACCTGCCAACACAGGACTGTTAACAGTGGTACACCTCACCCACTAAAATTCTAATTTTTCATTATTCAGGTTAACCCTCATACCATCCCTCACAGCATCACAGTCACAATCAGGGAAGTTTCACCACCACCTGTGGGCAGCAGTAAAAGAAACTGGGGAAAGAAAAATATCAACAAACTTGAAAGGTTGTCTAAGGCACTGTGGATATTGTGTTCCCTGCCAATATTGGTGGCAATATAGCTTAGAATTACACTGCAAGCCTCAAACATCTCAGCAAATCAGAGACATTAATAATTTATGACACAGTTTGAGCTTCAAACTGAGGACAGTGGAGACGCCTACTCTCTGCAGTGGCTTCCTCAGAAAGTCTGGAAATCATAGTACCAGCACTGCCTCAGTTAAAAACATCATGTTGCCGTTGTTTCACAAACCTTTACCAAACTTTAATCAAGGTCAGTGGTACCATTCCATGTCAGCTATTTTCTCCAGATTGTTTGACCTGGCAACTTCCAGTTCAAACTATTTCAAAGAACAAAGTCAGTGGAGGAGGAGGGTAGGACATTTTGTCCATGTCAAGACATGGTGATCTCTGAATCCAACCCACACTTCAAAGTGGCAAGCCTGACATCTGGCCAAGGGCTTGGAATTAAGGATGAGCCTCTTTGCCCCAGCTTTCACATTACAGCATGCTTCAAGCTACAATGGTATTTATGAACTCCATGTGAGAAGGAAAAATAAGTGTCTGTGAGCCCCACAGGGCTGGCAGAAATCTGCAAGATTTGCCATCACAAACCCAGTCTTGAATGGCTCTGTTTCAGGTCTGCACAAGAGCAGATCTGCTCTACAAAGACAGTGCAGCAAATGGACACCTGACCTCTGGCAGCAGCAGGAGTATCCCAATCACGTTCACTAATCTTGCTGCTGGTTCCACTGATGATATAAAAAGCCAGAGGGACAATCATTACTTTATATTCTAATTACCTGCCTGACAAAAGGCACTATATTTCCCCAAATTCCCATTCGGCCTCAGCTCTACAAAGTTAAATCATTCTTACACTTTTTCCAGAGGTCAAGTATTCAAAGCAGCACTTGACAAATCAGGTCAGTGAGTCATAAAAATACACACCTTATTTTTCTTGGCTAAAATTCATCTATTAGAATCTAAGGATGCCAAACAGGTGTTTATACTGTAAGGGGACATAATTTTTTACTTCCCCTCATTATTCATGCACAGTCCCAAGGCAAATTTATAGCAAGTTTTTAAAAATAGCATTAATAATCTAAGGGGCTGCACTAAGACCCTAATTAAGATGGTATATGAATGTTTCCTGCTTGCATGTGAGATTATAGATTTAAGTTACACAGTCTCAAGGCTCCTTAAGGAATTAATATTATTAACAGTGGTTTGGGAAAGATGGTCATTATTCTTGCTTTTTTTGCAAGAGAAATATTTTACTATTTTGACCTGTGACCTGTTAATCCATGTTTAGGACCTGGCTTCTCAGTGGACATTTTAAAGATGGTCATTATTCTTGCTTTTTACAAGGTGTTGAGACATCAAGAGAAATATTTTACTATTTTGGCCTGTGACCTGTTAATCCATGTTTAGGACCTGGCTTCTCAGTGGACATTTTACGTCACAGTGTAACTGCCCTGGTCCTGGTGGCTGGACACACTCGCCTCCTCTGAAAGCGCTTCCCTACGAGTGAGGCACTGGGGAAAGGAGGAGCCTTCCTCAAGCAGAAGCATGCAAAGGCTTTGCTGAGGTGAGATTTCTAGCTTCACACAGGACTGCCTCAGCAGAAGCAAGAGTTCAGTTTCCAGCAGTGATGTGGCTGCTTCAGCAGCAAGAGCAGCCCTTCATGCAATTTTGCTGTTCCCTGTCCACTGCTCACCTGGCAAATTCAGTAACAAAACAGGATAGATTTATCAAACTACCTCCTCTCTTTCCCCCAGCCATGGCTCTTCCTGCAAGCTGCAGACACAGGGATCGCAGCCAGTTTTGGAACAGGTTCTTGCAGGGTCCTTCTGCTAGAAATGGCAAGTGTTGTCACTGCTGGAGATGCAGTAGAGCCTGCCAGTGCCACCTACACCTGCAGTTTTCTGGGAGCCATGAACTAAAGAAGAGTTGATGAAAAAAAGTCCAAGCAGGAAATAAGAGATTAAAATTCTAACCCCAATTTCTATCAATGGTCCTAAACACAACTTTTGCTTGGACAGATAAGCCTTGAGAAATCATAAAAAGTGCACCACAGTTGAGCAGTTGCAGAGTTGAAAGGGACATTTGGCAATAGCCTTTCCCTCTGTCCACAGCAAAAGACACCTGCAGCTTTGACTGCAGACTGAATCAAGGTTTAACTCAGGTTAAAGAGCCCTCACTTCAGAAGTTACCACATATCAGTGAAATAAGTTCATGTTTCTTTTTGTGGATAAACAGAGTCTTCTCACTGGAAACAATTGCCCTTTAAGGAGTAGCCTAGAAAGCTTGAAACCTGATTTAACTGAGCTGACAACTCGTTCTTACCAGAAGCAATCATACACTCCCACAGTGACCAAAACTTTCCTGGCAGAGCTCTCTCTCTGGATTTATCATTAACATCTACATCCTAACACTGCTAAATAATTCAGTACAGCATTTAGCCTTGTGTCCTTGCCTCTCTACTCAGAAAACACTTTTCTTTTCTGTGTGTTTCAGCAACAGGGAACAAAAACCTGCCTGGATTGTGGTTCCACCTTGTGCTGTGTAACTGAGGGGGGAACCTGAGGTACCCTTTCACTCTCAACATAGAAGCATGGGTTTTATTTCTTTTATTTTGTTGGAAATAGTGTTTATTAGCAGGTACCCTTTCACTGTCATCATAGTTTTATGATGGGTTTTATTTCTTTTATTTTGTTGGAAATAGTGTTTATTAGATAACTAAATATAGAGCGTTATTTATCCACATGGAGTCATGACCATGTGGGCTTAGATTCACATGCAAATTCCCCTTTTAATAATCCTAATGCAGGGAGTGCTCCAATCAGAGCGCCACCAGCCCCAGCTCCCAGATACCTGATGCCAGCTTTGCTGGTAATGTAGGCCACCGAAGCAAATCCAGAGAGATTGAGTTGGAAGTGGAGAGAGGCTCTGAGATCTATTTGCTTGGCTTCCTGACGACGAGGGGGGTGTCTAACTTCTTTTTTTTCTTTTCTGCCGTGAAGGGATGTCGTTTGAGAGGGATCATTAGCTGCGAGCAGCCCGGCTGGGTCAGGCTGGGAGGCGGAGACGCAGCTGCAAGCAGCGGAGCAAGGTGGAGGCACGAAGACAGAAGACCAGGTTAATGAAAGCATGAGGTGGCTCTTGAGCAGCAGCTTGAAAAATTTTGGACATGCTGACAGGGGAAACTATGACTGGCTAAACAGTGAACCGGGTGGGCCACTTCTGGAAACAGAGCTTCAGGTCTGTACCCCCTGCTCATCTCTGTGGCATGTCCTTTGACTTTGCATGTGTGTGTATGTCTGTGTAACGCCTCAGTGTACAGCACAGAGTAAATCCCTGGGTACTGGGACGTATCAAAGCAGTACTGATCAATTACATCTTTATTGCTGTTAAGTCTTTTTAAACACATTTGTGGAAGAGAAAAACATTAGATGGAAAAATGTTGCTGGGGTGGCAGGTAAGGAAGTTCAATTACTTCTTTTAAGCATAAGGCATCATTGATTTCCTTTCTGTTCAAGGCGTGTTTACGCGCTGCAGCTGGTCCCGTGAAGCCTCTCTGCAGATGTTGGGAGGCAGAGGCGGGCAGCGATGAACTCTCGTTCCCTAAGCTGTGCGCTGATTACTTCTGCCAGAGGATCACATGCGGCCCCGTGGGGGGAGGGAAGCAGCCCCCAGAGATGAAAACACTGCTTTCTGCCTTTGTCTGGGATACAGCACAAGGGTTTCTGTGGTCCGAAATAATAATTTAAGGTGCACATAGTTCCTCAGTAAATGTCCGAAGCATGTTGCATTAGCAAATGAACTGGCCACACCACTCAGCTGATATAGATGAAGTGTACTCTTGCAAAATAAATGGGGGTAGGAGTGTGTGTGAGTGTCAAAACAGGACAAAAAGTAGTACTCAAATGTCGCCACAATTTCAACAAAGTCTGCCCCAGTGGTAACGTTTCCAAAGTTAGAATAGCAATGGCAATGTCTTCACACCTCCAGACTGCTTTTATCTGACAGCAAGAAACAAACAGCATCACTAGAGTCACATTCCAACAAGTATTTGAAAATTCTGTGAAAATCCAGGCTCACTTCCAGATTACATGTCATTACTAATGGACACAAAATCACACAAAAATGTTTTTCTATTTGCCAGAGTTACATGTTTTTGCTTTTTACAAGCAGTAATGAATCATCTTCAAGAAGCCGGATAGAGTTTGGAAAAGAACCTGTAGGGGAACCACACCCTAATGACTTCAAAGCAGACTTTGTTCCAAATCCCCTTAAAACATTTCAGAAGTATTGGCTTCCTGACTCAGCTTCAAAAGATATTAGTATAAATACAGACTATATTAACAGAAATAATTTTAATGGAGTTCTAAGTATGCTGGCAAATCATTAAGAACATAATAAATCTTAGCACAGCTCAATCACTTCAATGGGAATTTCAGTAAGCAAAATAAACTTTCATTTTTCTACCCTCAAACAAAAGCTTCTTTAACATCATGTTTTGCCTTATGAGGTGATTCCCTCCCAAGGCAGGTACTACCCCTCGTGTGTCTGGACACACAGCTCAGCTCCAAGCCCATTCCTTTACTCATCATGGATATTCCACACAACTCTGCCTTTCATTCCTTCACCAACAGGCACGAGTAAAAGCTCATCTTAACTGATATGGGTCACATAATCTGTAAGCTGGCAACTGTACATGCTCAGCATGTTAAAAAAAAACATAGGCAGACAGATTATTAACAAAAGGCTTTATTCCTTCCAGTATGTGCTCAGTGGCTGGGGGAAACTGACCCTCTGCTTCAGTCCCTACAAATATACAAATGAAGGGGGGAGAATAAACAATGTCCAAACTGTCCTGCTAAGAATCAGTTCTGGGAAAACAGGACTTTTTAGAAATATGATCCCTTCTACTTGCATGTTCTTTTCTGCCTTTCTCTATTTTAAAATGGATATTTTCCCATATTTATGTGTCTGTAACTTATTTCATGCTGGAAGTCTGGTCCTTCTTTTTGTCACTTACAAACCTGACAATAGACATCTGCTTGTGATGACACAGGCAGAGCACGCTGAGCTCTAATGAAGCAGCATCAAACAAAACCAGTCAATTAATAATTCTGTCAGTCACTGCATATGCCTGGTGTGGAAACTTTCAGATTTAAAACATACAGATGTAAAAAGTAGAGGATTTTACCTTGAATAGGTTCTGCAACCATATTAGTTTCAATTAATGAAGATTGAGTTTGATTTCTAGAAAATTTTATTTTCCAGTTCTGGCAGCTATTAATCATACCTATACACAGTGGTTACTTTTCTAGTTATAGAGCTTCAGCTGCAGAAGTTAGTTTTAGGTCAGTTTAGAACTAGTTTTATTTTATAATTTCAGAATTTTTTTAAGTGACCTTTGATTCATTGTATTAAAATTATTCCTATTTTTAGTGCAATTTTTAAAATGCCTATTAGATTTTCCAAGTCTTTATGCCAAGATCTTTGCAACATTCTTCAGTAGCACTTTAGGCAATCATTGCACAAATGGAAACAAAACCACAATAGAAAAAAAAGGACTAATATTGATTGATTCTCTCCTCATACATTTGATATATTTGTACTGATATATGTACGAGAAGTCCATCATCGTCCTTTTGCAACTACATCTCAAAGTAAAATCAGTCCGTGTAATGTTTGGCAGGAGGCAGCATCAAAATGGACACATAACTCCCTGTTCAGGTTCAGGGCATCTGTGGGGCAATAGCTATAAAAAACTATTTCAGCTCAAATAATACACTAAGTAGCCTACAAATTACTTCACAAGAAGTCCATCGTCGTCCTTTTGGAACGACATCTCAAAGTAAAATCAGTTCGTGTAATGTTTGGCAGGAGGCAGCATCAAAATGGACACATAACTCCCTGTTCAGGTTCAGGGCATCTGTGGGGCAGTAGTTATAAAACCTATTTCAGCTCAAATAATACACTAAGTAGCCTACAAATTACTTCACCTGGATAGGAAAGTCTTGACATTAGCTGTGTTTAAACAGCTATGAGCACTCTGAAACACAGTCTGAGGAAAATCAGTCTTTATTGTCACCTGTTAGCATACAGAAAAGCATGAAGCTGAGTCAGGGGAGGTTTAGGTTAGATATGAGGAAAACATTTTTCACTCAGAGGGTGGTTGGGCACTGGAGCAGGCTCCCCAGGGCAGTGGTCACAGCACCAAGCCTGACAGAGTTCAGAAATCGTTTGGACAATGCTCGAAGGCACATGGTGTGGCTCTTGGGGTGTCCTGCACAGGGACAGGAGTTGGACTCAACGATCCTGATGAGTCCCCTCTAACTCAGCATATTTTATAATTCTATAATATTGCCTAATTCTTAATCTTATCTGCTTTGCATGCCACTAATTTGCAGATCATAGTAAAACACACTTACTGTTCTTTAACAACTATACAGTAGTTGTGAAACAAAATAACAAACTAAACAAATTTATTGTGTCTCCTTTTGCACACATTACTAAATAGGAAGCCACCAAGCACAGGTTACTGTGGTTATTTTGAAATAGAATAGGATAAAATAGGAGTAGTTCAGTTGGAAGGGGTCTGATCTGCAGTGAAAGTCCAACCACCTGACCACTTCAGGGAGCACAAGAGAATATGGGCTGCTTTGTAATAACACTGTAATTTTTTACCAGATCCCACAGTGCAATAAAGTTCTTGCAGGTTCAGGGCACTGCCTTGTCACCTTCAGAGACAGTAATAGAGATGCAGAATTTCTGCAGACCATACCCAAGGATGTCAACCCAGGCACTCAAACCAATCAGTAACCCACAAGAAACACCTCCCCTGATCTGTCTTGCCCCTTCCCTAGAGCATTTGGTAGCAGAGACAGGAGAACAGCTCCCCAGAAGAACATTTGCTTTACCACACAAGCAGGCAGTCCTCTCTCTTCCCACAGTCTTCTGACTGAGTCACTGCATACTCTACACACCCTGCAACACCCTGAGGTATTGTGGTGTTCATCTTCTTCCCTAAGCAATCTATCACAACCTTGAGGAGGCACTTTGTGCACAATAATGTAATTAAAAATCATATGTGTTGCAGACCAAATTAAGGATTTTACAGATTTCAAAAATGCTAGCAGTTATTCAGGCTTGAGAACTTGATTTTGCAATTTTAGAAGTAGTGCTATAGATTACTCTTGGAGAGCCTTTGAACAAGAAGAGTTTATATGCCAGTAACCCACTGATAACCTAAGGTGTCCTTTTGTGGCTAATTCACAGACGGTTGCCGTCTAAGCTAGCTCATACTACAAATAGTTGCACTCCTTCCATTTTTTTACCATTAGATGTGAACCGTGCCCTCCAACAATAATATATTTCACACATTTCTCTTAATAGGTACTTCATTGCAAGGCCCAGGACCTCTGGGTTCCAATCAAGGCTTTGGAGCAAAGTATATTTCCCTGAGACCCGAGACCATTTGTTAATTCCTTCCATCAAGCTTAACCTTTCCTTCCCTTCTGGAGTCCAGTATTTGTACAAGGCATTGTCTTACAGCCCTAACTCTTGCCTGTGCTTCCACCAGCACTGTCCTTGGCCATCATTTAACATGCAAATATCACTGCAGTGAAATTTATAGGGAAGCTGCACTGAGTTTAAATGATAATTGGGGCTTTATATACCTTTTACTAATCTCATGTAGGAAACACTGGCAATCTCACACACCGTCCTCACAAACCACCAGAGTACTGTACAACTCAGATCTTAAGACCAACACTTAACCTGGATGAAAGCCTGCTCCCTACAAATTAAACCCAAAACTTAGACTTGGGTTTTAAAAATAAGCTCTTCAGGAACAATGCTGTGCATTATAAGCTCAGCTCTTCTCAATATTTACTGTAAGAGTATCTGTAACATATCAGTATCAGTGAGTCCCCACATACACAGAGCACTAACATAATACTACAGAATGCTTTTTTCTTATCTTCTCTTGAAATGTTTTATACACCTCATAAAACACACTAAAAAAGTATTAACAAGCTTTTTTAAAAATCCCCTAATTTTTAAGAAATTATTTAACGTCTGCACTGGAAGAACAGCTGAAACAATTTCTTCCAATTCTGCTCTTTCCTGTCACTCATTGAATGGTCAGGTAAGACAACAGCTTGTACAGCCAGAAATTCTTTAATAAAAAGTATCAATAAATATAAAGTAGTTCTTTAACATGCATTTTTTGGGGTAAAAGACCATTGGGGGAAAATAGCTTAATAGCTAATCTGCAAAGGTTTCAGTGTATTTTAAAATTATTTTAATGCATTTAGCTTCAGACCCACAATACCTTAGGGAAAAAATAGAAAAGCGTAACCTGCCCTTACATCATTTGTTAGGAGTCAATGCCTATTTACTTTATTTTTCTCAGGCATAATTATAATTTCATAATATGACAACAAAGCAAAGAGGCTACAAATGACTGGTAGATAACCAGTTGAATGTAGATTACAGTGTGATTTTGTAGCTAGAAGAATGACTGCGATTCCTGTAAGAATAAGAACAGAAAATTTTTGTAGACTAAAAAGGAGACACTGGAGTTACTGCCTTTTCACAAAGCCATTGCTGCAAACAGCCAATTTGTATCCCTGCTTCCCAACCCTTTGAGGAAAGAATCACTTAAGTTCTCTTAGTCTGAATGGGCACCTTCACTCAAAATAAAGGAAATCTGGTCCATTGACCTGTTTAGTCTCGCCATGCAAATGTGAAAAAGCCACCTCACAGCATTAGTCAAGAGCTTACAAAAGGAATGACTTGATAAACATCATTGTAGGGTCTGGGTTTTCCTTATGCCCTAGGCTAAACTCTGAACGAGACCCAATTACTAGAAGATGGAGTCAGACTGGAAACAAGATATACTAAATTTTAAAACTAAAGCTAATACAACACAAGAGCACAAATGGCTTGTTGGTTTTTCTCATAGCTTATGCCTCCTGTTAACATTACATCACAATTCAAAAGCTGTGGGACAGAGGTCTTTTGTGCTACATTTTGCAGAAAACAAAGCTGACACAGCAGTCACAAGTGCTACTTCTCTTACACCAGAAGTTCTTTTTCTATAGTTCTAAACAGGAAAAAATGATTCTTGGATCACTGGCAGAGCAAGCTCAAGAGGTCCAGTCCAAGCTGTCCTGTCCAATAAAAACACTGTGTTTTATTTGGAACTGGCCTGTGAGGTTAGAACAACCTAAAGAACATGTATTGCAGGCAATGGCCCCTGTTTGAAAGGGCTAGTTGTCGTAATATTTGTTCTTTAAACAGTTTTCCAAACATAAAGAAACAACACCAGATGATGGATCATCAGCCTTATTCATCTGCAATTCAATGTTCTCACAAATTTTAAAAGCTTGACCAGTTTCCTACAAAGTTGACTGGTCCTGCTATAATCCAAAAGTAATAAAATGCCATACAAAATTGCATATACTTCCAGGCTTTTAGGGTTTTTTCCCCATTGGAGACAGGGTTTTCTAAAAATCCAACACTATTTGCAGCTTCTCTGGGATTTTTTGTCTCTGGTTGTAATTTGCTTTAATTGGCCAGTAAATAGAATTCATGAGTCTGCAAAACATACTGCTTGATGTATACTGGTGCAGAGAGAAAGACATTTGGAAAAGCAACTGCTATGTCACAAGGCAGAGATAAGGACCGTGGTTTTTCCCTCTGATTAAGAGATCACCAGGAATCCAACACATTTCCTATTTGCTTTGGTTACAGAGCAGACAACAGTCAAGTTCAACCAAAGACGACATAGAACCTTTCCTGTGTATCATATTGCCTGCCACCATGATGCTCTTCCTGGCATTCCTGCTGCTCTTCCTGTACCGCCGTTGCCAGCGCCCCACTCAGCAGGGGCAGATCTTCAGCATCGACCTTCCCGAGGCCCTGCCTGAGCACGACGTGTCCAATTTCCTTTCTGCGCTGCCCTGGAGCAGCGAACAGAGCTTCCACTACTCGACGCTGCTCCCCGATGCCACGTTCCTCTCCGTGTGTTTGCCTCCGTCCTACGAGGAGGCCACCATGAAGAATTCCATGGAAGAGGCTCACATTGAGCTCTCTCCAGACCCAGTGCCTCCTTACGAAGAGAGCGCGCTGCAGACCAGCAGCACCAAATAAACTTCCTACAGAAGCACCTTAGCTGAAGCATGCAGCGCAAAGGTAGAACTGCTATGGCCTTTAAAATTTGTGAAAAGATTCCAAATGAGGCACAAAACCAATGAATTTATGAAGGAAGAAACTTGAAGTAACAGGGACTGCGTCTCTTCACCTCATCCTGGGATTCTCTACCTTCCATTTGTGGCAAGTGTACACACAGGATAGCACCAAGTCCAATCCAGACTGGTAACGTGGGGATTCTAGTCAACAAACATGTCATGTAAGGATTAAACTTAAGGAAAGCTGGGAAGCTCTTCCTCTGTAATCCCTCAGCTACAGTGAAATGTCAATAACGCTATAGATTCAGCAGTCACAAAAAGGGCTTTTAGCACATACATATTCCAGTTTGGTTTGGGGTTTTTTTTCCTATTTTGTGCATTTATATTTAAATGAGTTTTTGACAAGCTGAGTCGCTCAGTCTGTGTGTGTTTACATCACATCATTTTGCAGTGCTCTGGAATGATCACAACAGCTCTCAGGAAAGCAAATAAATATATAACCTCTACAAAATTTCCACTAACTGTCCCCAAAGGTTCAAATGTGCACTGTGAATAAAGGCTGTCTTTTCTCACAATTGGACAATGAGCACAAGCAGCAACCGGGGAAGACTTGATTGTTCTGGGTGAGAAGCCTCCATGCACGAGCACACTCACTCTGTTGCTGCAAGCTGCTTGCCAAGGTCTGCAAGGTCCCAGCATTCCAGACTACCCAGTTGACTTCTTTTCCAAGTCTAAAATAATAAACCATTTGACTTACATGGTGCAGTGTGTAAAGGAGTTGGGGAAAAATTAATAAAATCAAGTGCACCAAAAAAGCCCTGGTCTGTATTTCAAAACAGCTTTATAATCCCTTCCCCTTCATCCCCAGGGCAGGGTGAGGCTCGTTCAAGTGGTTCAGAGGGTTTGCATAAGCTTTCAGAAAGTGATGGATGTCATCTTTAATTCTTTCTTACAGGATAGCATTTTCAGCAAGTTGATAGATGCTGTTGTTACAGAAGGTGGTTACTACAGATCCTGACAGCCTCAAAAGTTATGTTGGCAAGCCACAGACAAATGCAGTGTTGTGGAATAGCTGACACCTGCAAGGAAGAAACTGTCACAGCAGCTGGTGCAGCCTTGGTGTAACTCACAAACCCAAAGGCTTGCACTTGGTGATTCCAACAGCTGTCAGGAGGTGTCAATAACAGCCAGTCCTGCTTTACCCACATTCCTTAAAAAAAACTCAACAAAAACAATAACACAATAACAGAAAAAAAAATCCTCACTGTACTCCAGAAGAAAGGCTACTTTAGAGCTGCAAGGTGGTTGAATTTTGTGTTATGTCAACAGTGACACAATCACAGTAACCAAATAGTCCATATGAAAACTGATGTTCCTGCTCATACATTTCTCTTACAATGAGGAAAAAATATGCCTTTTTATTTAGAAAAACAGGGTTATTTTCTTAAACTACAAATTTGAGATAATTCTTTTTCTAACATTCCACTTGGATCATCAAACTGAAGAAGCGGATATTTTGGAAAACTCCCATAACTGGGAACAGTTCCTGGTATTTGCTGATGTGTTTGAAAGTACCATATTCTAATGCTTCCTCGCATTTTCTTTACTTCCTTAATATTTGGTATATGCAGTTGTTTTTGAGGAAAGCTGGAAAAATACAAGAGCCCCAAACAATATACCTAATTGGAAAGGTGCAAAGGTTTGAGGTTGAAAGAAAACCACTTCTGCCCCTGGTGCCTGTATATTCCACTAACTTCAGGGGAACTGTATGGATATGCTTCAAAACTCACACTTTGTCATATCAAGTTGAATATATTTTGCCTTAAGAGATCTTAAGAGATCTCTGTGTTCTGAAATGAGTCATGCTGTTCTTCAGCACGATCTCTTCTTACCCTTCATTTGGGTAGGGCCTGATACTCAGCCTCTGGGCTCATCATTCTAAACTGCTCCCTTGTTACCTTAGTTACAGTTAAGAAAATTTTTGACTGGTATTTCTTGTGGCCAAGACTGATATACCTCTATAACTAGATGAAAATTGCTATTCTCTGCAAGAATATAGAGAGTAATTGTGTTTCATGCAGTATTTGTTGGACAACTCTCAAATCCTGCTTAAGAAAAATAGCTTCTGATTGTTAGCATTGCTAAAGACAATTTAAAACAGACACTTGCTCAAATCCATATTAACAGAAAAACTGCCATTACTTAAATTCTTCCTTCTAGTAAACTGCTTTCTATTCCATCTGGAATTGGTATCCCTTATCTCATTCCAACACAGATTTGTCTGATCTTGTGTGTTAATTGTCCCTAGTAGGTTTCAATATAACCGGCATCTCTACTCTTAAATCTCCAGCCCAAAGAGAAGGCCCACTAAAAAAAAAAAATGTTTCTCAAGCAAATACACTGAAATGAAGTCTCCATTGCCTAGAAGCTCTTCTGATCCCATCCGGCTGTGCTGCACGCATCTCAGCAGCCACCTTGTCACTGTTAGTGCTACTGGTTGTGAGCAGCTTTCAGGTCCTCTGGGCAAACACCTTGTGCAGCAGACTCTGATCCCATCAGGCTGTGCTGCACGCATCTCAGCAGCCAACTTGTCACTGATGTTAGTGCCACTGGTTGTGAGCAGCTTTCAGGTCCTCTGGGCAAACACCCTGTGCATCAGAGCTGAGAGCTCATGACCTGAAAGGAGCTGGTGCCTGGCAATAGGAGCAACCATAAGTGCAATGGGCAGATCTCCCATCTTAGCTGCAATAATCTGAAAGGTGAAGGTTTAGAGCACCCCATCTAAAAGAAAGATGTTGGAATTGGGACCATAAACAAAAAAACTGAGGAGACACATTAAGTTTTCAATTACATAAAGGGTAACTACAAACACAGTAAAAAAGGGACCCCTCATGCCTACATCAATCTGAACTAGTGCTAGTGATTTTAAACCAGAGCAAGATTAAATCAGAAAAGAAATCTTTAAAAGTGAAGTGTAGGCTGAAAGTGCAGTGGACACAAAAAGCAGTGGACACACAGAGAAGGTAGACAAACATCTGTCCAGAATGATGAAGGTTAGAGCAGAGAATGGATTAGATGTCTTCTCTGTGTCCTTTCCTATTCCTATGCCTAAAGTTACACCAAAGTAAATTTTGATGCTTGTTTCCAAATTATATGAAATCAGACAGCTGTTTCTTTGAAAATTTCTTATGAGATTTCATGAGCATCCAGAAATTACTGTGACATTGGCATTGTACTTTATAGCCACAAGGCTCTTTTTTTTGTTTTTTTTGTTTAAATCTTATATCTGCTAGTACACATACAAATTACTAACTCACCTTGATGTGAAGGGTAATTGTAATTAATTTTTCTATCATGAAAATACTAAGGAAGCCTGATGAGATTAATTATGTATACACTATCCCTTGTTTATATTTAGTAGGAAACCATGGAACAATACAGGGCCTTTCATTAAGGGGGTTCACAAGCTTAGAGAGCAGTCTCTGTGCTTGTCTTCCCCGTGAGAGCTGACAGAGTCTCTCACTGACACGAGTCCATTGCTCTGCAGACCAGGACAAACACACATCTTGCACACATGGCAGATTCTTGATCAAATTACATTTAATGGAAAACAACACAGGTAATTTATACAAAGTAGTTCTTCTAGATATCCAGTGAAAGTATTCAGCGTGTATCTCCAATAATGCCACAGTAGTTTCCTATTAATGGAATATTCTGCCCGTCTCATTTTAGCCAAAGGAAGAAAAGATGACACAGCTCTTTGTAACCACTGTGGGATCTCAGAAAATAACATCTCACATAAAACTGATGCATGCTTCTGCATAGATGGAGCATCTGGCACCTGATCTTTGCTGGACTTAAAGCTAACTCTTGACTCATTGGTTTGCACTTGCCGATGATAAAATGTGCTTTTCAAAACAGAATAGTCATTGCTTGGCATTACTTCTTGGCATTAGAAGTAACCTCTGGTCTAGGGAAGGCAGGATAAGCATTTCAGTGCATACATTTCACTTCAGAGAGATCCTCACCTGTAACAAGTATCTTGACTAGAAATTTAGAAACCCAACTGAAGTAGAAAACACTTAGAAAACCAAACAAACCCTGACAGTATATCTTTGTGATAGTTCAATAATATCACAGTGGTCAAGAAAGAACTATTCCCAAAATAAAATTCTTTGCTTAATCCATACTTTAAGGATTTTACTTGCATTCTTATGGGAGCAAAGCCTCCAAATAGACACACAACTACTTCTGTAAGTACAGACTCCACTGGCACGAACTATATATGCTCCAGTAGTGAAAACTGGAGGAAGTGAGTGGGCAGTCTTATTCTGGTTAGAAGAGTAATTTTGTTTGGGTGAGGTTTTTTTCTGTGGTTGTTTGTTGGGTTTTTCACAAATTTTCAAGAACAAACATTGCAGAAAAACATCAGATAAGCATAAGCTGAATGCTTATGGCAAATAAATTATTCACTGACTCCTCTCTCAAAAACTGTCATAAGTGAAACAGCTTTGAATTTTTAATAATGAAATTTCTTAATTTCAGTCAGTTAGTAAACAATCATGTCATGCCATGACTTTCATTACAAAGCAGTTCTATTCATCACTTGGATAATGAGGTCTTCTATTGTAAATCAAGGTGACTCTGACGTGGGTGAGGGAGAGAAAATGACAAGGAGGACTCTAGCTTATTAGAAGGCTAAATAATTACTTTATTATACTACACTATATGCATTGCATCTAGACTGAATCTGCCATGCGCTCACTCTTGCTTACAACTGCACAGAGCAGCCCTCGTCTCTGATTCTCTTGTGACTATCTCGTGACAGTCCAAACACACTCATTCTCCTGGCCTTGATAGGTCAAGGGAACAAAATATTGTCACTTTGAGTAAACAATCTCCATATTGCATTCTACACTGGCACAACACAGGCACAGCAAATGAAGTAAGAATTGCATTTTC